CAGGCAAATGAAATGAACAAACAAAACAAAACAAGAAAAGTAGGACAGAGGTAGCTGTTGTCTCTGATGCTTTTCTCTCATGATCAAATGATATATAACAGTAGGCTCAGCAGAGTCAAGTTTAACTTGGAGAAAATTAGTCCTTGAACTTTACGTTAGATCATCTAAAGAGTAAACTGAAAGGCGAGCTCCAGAAAGGAGGATCCCATGGCTGACTGCAGTTTGAATCCTGGCCTTGGAGCTTAAAAAACATGGTAGGTGTATATGTGTGTGTGTGTGTGTGTGTGTGTGTGTGTGTGTGTCCCCAAACCCAACAGCAGGTAGAAATGGCGAAGAGTTAGCAGCGTGACTACATCTCTTCAGGAGGGGCTTTTCCCTTCTATCTCTCTCTCTGGCTAGTACATAATGCCCTCTGGCAATTAAAAAAAGTTAAAAAGCAAGCTACATTATAGTTTTGAAGCAATTACTTAAAAATATTGAATTCTATTTTAAAGCAGAAATGTATGTTTTCTTTTATATTTGCTTTCCATAAAAGTAACCAAATAATTTTCCTAGTTTCACAAGAACATTAAGTAAAAACCTGAGTAAAAGCCACTTCAATACACCCCTGATAAATGGCCTTAATATGATGTTGAGAGCTCAGTTGACACATTTACATTTAATTATACGATGAAAGTTTGACTAAATCATTGCTGTGAAGGTTGACAGTATGGGGATAACTGTGGACTCTCTTTCGTTCACCAGAAATAGCAGCCCACGTAACATGTATGCCATACTGAAGGAGTCTAAGGAAACTCGCCCCCAGGCCCTGCTCTCCAGGCCTCCCAGAATCACTCCTGCAAAACTGAGAAGCCAGAAAATGTATCTCAGATCTTGGGAGAGTCTCCATCCCCTCCTGCTTCATGAACTATTAGAGAGTCCAAGCATCCTTGAGCAATGCACACCTAACTTTGCTAGCAGAGATGAGGAAATACGAGAGGGTTATTCCTAAGTGTCTAAATAATAAATCAGAGCATGGTAAGTCTCAAAACAGCTGTTTTCTGGGAGAGAGTTGTTAACATATGTAACTAATTTTTGAGAAAACTAAACATCCCTTAAAATAGCTTTCACTTCAGAACTGAGTTGACTGAATCGTGTTTGTTCACCAATGTATGAGGCTCTGCCTAGATGTTAACAAGTAGCTATAGATTCAGAAATATATTTTCAAATAAGTTCCTCTAAGTTCCTCTAAGTGTGTTATAGTTCCATCAGCTCTTAACTAAACTAAGGACAGTATGTTTGATTTTTTTTGAGGAACCACTTGGTCAGTCTAATATGTTAATTGGCCTTAAGTCTAGTTTCCTAGACATAATGACAAGTAGCAGATTTCTCTCCTTGGTTTCCACTGGATTACAGAAATACCTGGCACCTGAAAATTGCCACATAGTATTTTATCATTCACAGTTCTTTTTTTTTTTTTTTTTTTTGAGAGATTTTTGCTCTAGGGAGTGTACATTCACCAGAAACAGACAGATAGATAGCGAGAAATCACCCTGCACCCCAGGGGGATGGACATGCCACAATCTCTTCTCCGACATTTTCCTCTTGGGATTTTGAGCACGCATGCTCACATGCCTGGTGTGAGTTTTAAGTTGTTGGATATGGGATTCGAACCACAGTCAATTACATCAGAGTCCAGCAACATAACCATTGTACCGTCTGCTGGTCCATATTGTTTACAGATTAAGTAATTTTTATTTTTTCACTAGTAACCATATGTTCTCGGTAGACATAAAACCTTTGACCAATAACGACTTCCTGAATTATTTTATTTTGCAACTAGTGAATTGTGACACTCAAAACAAAACTTAAATACAGTAAAGTTCACAATAAAGTAATTAAAGACAAGTAGTGGGTCTTTTTATAATTAGATATTATGTTTCCCATAAAGAATTGAAATTAAGATAAGATTGACTTTGTCCAGAAAATATACCATATAAATAATCCAGGATTCTCATGCTGTTATCACACCAAAGTGAGTGCTTCACAGACTTTTCTTTTTTAATTCTAATCTAGAAATGAAAGTCAACCACACAACCTCAATTATGTATTTCATAAAATATATATATGTGGATAGGGATCAGAATAATACTGACCCCTGGAATTCTGACTTTGTCTTTTCTGTTTGATGCTTTATTTCTTTCTGATATCCTTCAATCATTCTCCATAAATAATCTTTACCTGATGGTGAAATTGGCTATTTGAATATAGCAGTTAAGAGACACAAAGAACCAAAAGGGAAATCTTCAAAATCTAATATTGCAAATGCTTTTTCTAGTCTCATAGCCTGTGAAAATCTATTTATTTCTAAACAATGCCAACCACGTATATATCAGAATAACCACTAAGATTTGAAAGTGTGATGACTTTAAATTACAGAGAATATATCTGTTTTTGCTTATTCCCAATTGTCCTACAGGTAAAATTTCACTAATAAATTATAAACATAATAAAGCATTTATTGAAAAGTGTGGCCCTGTAATAACTTTTTTTTTGAAGTAAAAATTGTTGAATGGATTTCTAAGAGAAGAAATCTCTTAGATCCCACTTTTAAAATGTCATTATTTAATGGAATCCTCAATTGTAAGGTTATGATATGGCAATCCTTTTTTCTCCCTCACAATTCCGTGAAGCTAAGTAATTATCATGTAGCTTACAACATGTCTAATTTGCCTTACAATGATCATAGATGCGCGTTCCCTCTATAAATACTTATTGAAGATGCAAATAACTGATGACTGCCAAGAAAGCTAAACACAGGCAATGCTGTCTACATCGAGATGATCTGTTCCCCCTTTTAATCCTCTTTCTGGCTGTCCAATGAATGACATTTGATGTTTACAAGAGTAATGAAACAAAGGAATGGTGCTGTTTTTGTTTTATTAAAAAACAAAACTAGATTTTTTTTTTGAGAGGTTTTTGCTATAGGGTGTGTACACTCGCCAGACAGACAGAGAGAGACAGAGAGACAGAAAGCGAGAAATCAGCCCCCGGGGGGGCATGGCCACGCTGCAATTCCTTCTCCTCCATTCTCCTCTCGGGATCTTGGGCACACGCACACACTCACCAGCGTGAGTTTTAAGCCACCAGGTCCGGGACTCAAACTACAGTCAACTACATGGGAGTCCAGCGACATAGCCATTATGCTAACTGCTGGTCCTAAAACAAAACTAGATTTTTGAAATACATGACTCAAATGATTGCCTGAGAGCATTTCTGCTCTCTCTACTTTCCATGGAAAGCTGAACATTTCTGAAGCAATTACTTAAATATTTTTTCAATAACTATCAAATGAAGTCAGTAGTTACTTACTAAAAACTATGCTCTCTTAAAAGTGCAGAATTCACCACCCAGAACTCAGCGGTGTAAGACGGTGACTCGAGATGATGGCCCTCGTTTGTGGCCTTTCTAGTCCCTGCAGAGCCCCTGCCCATCCTCATGCACCCTGCTCCGGGCACTGAGGCTGACCTCTGCAGCTGGCCTCCCTCTCGCTGGCTTTCAATTTGTTTGGCTAGTTGGAGCTTCTAATAGGAGAGCTGAAGGGTAGAGGTCAGGGAGGTAGAGGTATTCATTGTCCTGGCTCCCCCTGAATAAGCTGATTTTGGGGTGACCATTGCTCTCAGATCCACCCACAGCCTCCTCTCCACCTGTTTTTTTACCTTTGGGTCTGAGTATCATGTGGGTTTAAGGAGCCTACCATACCTTGAACTGGGATACTGCTCAGTCCAAATGATTTTCTTTTCCTCTTTCTCTCTCTTTCTCTCTTTCTTTCTCTCTTTCTTTCTTTCTTTCTTTCTTTTCTTTCTTTCTTTCTTTCTTTCTTTCTTTCTTTCTTTCTTTCTTTCTTTCTTTC